GAAGTGTCAACAATGCCCAAAACGAAACGCACTCGTACTCTAACGCAAACTACAACATCGTATTTATATTGTGCCTCACATATAATTCTTGATTCTATTCGTTCTGTGTTCTGGAGACGCTTACACCGCCATCCGTGCTTTTCGTTGGTTAACATACTCGCTAGCAGCCAACATCGGCTAAGGCCACAAGTTCTTAGGCGTTTAAAGTGCGCTGAAATTTCTGCAGTAGAATCTGCCACAATCGACACGTCTCATAATCACCTTAAAAATCGCCCTTGTCTCACTTATCGAAAATCCAGACAAATGAGTCAGACACTAAAGTATAATAAATGACTTATCATTCCGTCGAATTACTAGAAGGACGTGTGTTTAGAAATTTGGAAACATCAGTCAATCACTAATCAAATATACTAGCTCTGGTCTAGCGGAAACACGCATTCATCTTCTTTACTGTGATGCACACATTTACCGTTTCACCTTTCCCATTAACTTATTGTTGTACTATCTGTCGTGCAGAATGGTCTGTACCCTTCTGCCCGCTTGTGTTTAAGCCGCTGTACTTCACACTATCTCAAAAGTGCTTGGAATCAATGGAAGTTTTTAGCATTGAATTTTTAATCTTGAATGCTTTTAGCTGTTCAGTTTCATTCAAAGTGGATGACGAGTTCATGGTTTGTACAAATGGATATAAATCAAGCATGATCGCTGATCATGCGAAGCCCCCTCCTGCACTCACCTGCTTGACAACTTCGCTGGATCACGGGCCGAATCATCAGATGCAGAAAACTGATTAAGGCAGATGGCAACTGACCGCGTCTGACCAAACATCAAGTCGAGTTGCACCACGTGTTCAATTGGACATCTTCAATTCAACCTTCACCTTCTTTCTCAAAAAAATCGGTTAACCTTCGTTTATTGTTCCTACACCACCTGATGTAGGTGGTTGTTATTAGTTAAATTTCAAATAATCAACCGGCAACCAGCCACTAATCATTCAATGAGAGCATGTGGAGGTTGTATTTGCGTGTTTGTAACTTAATCATGTTTCGTATTCAAATCCCAACCATTTCGTTTTCCTGATTATCAACAACGTCGCATTCAGTTATTGGTGCACATGAACGTGGCAAGTCGAATGGGGTAGCGTTAATCCATCACCGATTTGACGAAGGTAAGCTTGAATGCTGGATGTCTCATTGCTATCTACGTGCTGTCACAAGTACGCAGTGAGTGTAGGCACATTCCCAGACAATGAGATACGTGACCAACGCAGCGCCACACAAACCAACATGTCGTGGCAGTTTGAATCTCAATGAGAACTTGGAAAATGTTACCTCATGCGAATGCAATGTGCGTTGGTAGAGCCACATCAATTTGGCCAGCGGTTGCGAACAAATCTTAGTGTTTGGGTATATGTGCATCAGCCATGTAAAACATATTCTTGTTCGAGATTAACTTACTGCATGATTGCTTATTCCACCTACCACTGCTATTGGCTTCACCGAAGTGTCCACACAGGCACTACAAGCACCGTCGTCGCCAGCACTCAAGCATTTTGCAGTTTTTCATCGTTTGCGTCTGCCCTACGTCAACACACACCCTCGTAGCCTTAAAGGAATTAATTTTAATCCGCAGTTCAAGCCTCAAAGAAGAATAGCACAATATATTCATCCGTCTTTTCAATAAATCATAAAAACGTTTTAATGGAATTGGGCCGAGTAGCTCACTCACTCGGCTTGAAATATTCGAGGGCAGTTGGGGGATAACGTGACTATAAATGTCATGCAGGTTGGTGATGTTGAGACGGCGAAAGCGATCCTCGATTTTCGCAAACCATGCCCGAGGGTTGCCTTGTAGCTCGGAATCACAAAAAGCGACACGTTCAAAATACCGCCTTGACTTTGGTTCACTAGATGCCGACGAATGAGAGTGTTGCGAAAGGGTTAGGAATCGCTTTGACGACACGCGCGGCAGGATGATACCCATGAACGCTCTTTCTCATTAGGATTGCATTCATGATTATGCGCGTCCACTGAACTCTGCATGTGTCCGCTTCCGCTTCATTGTCACACCTGCCTTTTTGCTCCTTCTTCTTCTTCTTCTTCTTCGTCTTCTTCTCCTCAGTCTCAACCATTCAAATCCGTGGTGTAGTGAATGACACCGCATCAGAGTGCAGCAGACACGGTCTGGTCTAAGTGCGCGCTCACTTCGTTGTGTCGCAAGTGATTGACTACAAACACACACACACACAATCTGGCATTAGTGAATGAGCGACTTGAAGCAGACGATCTTAACAACACAAGTCAATAAAAAAGATGCTGATAGTAATATTAGCCACGCAATATGCAGCTGGATGCACCCAGAATGTCAGAACGTAAAGTGCAAATGCAAATTAACTGCAACCCAACTCACTTTATGCGTGGTCGCATGGGCAAGAACCACAAGCACTTTTCGCCATTCACAAGGACAACAGACTGGTGGCCTGTCATGCTGCCTCAATCACCTCGCACGAACTAACACACAAGACCTGTGTTCGCAACCTAGTCCTCTTAATCACTGTCTCGCCATCGCAACGTGCTCGATGATAGATAGCGTAAAAAGGGTTGACGCTTAAATGACGGTGTCTTCGTTCGCATCATGCTGACAGATATTGCGATGACATACAAGTAAGGTTCAGTAAATATGCTGAAACGTGTTTCAGCAAGATTTCAACCATAGAGAATGAATTAATATGTTGCATTACATTTGCCTTTCTTCCTTCTTACCGTCCATTTCGTCGAAGGGATCCAGGAGATTGGCAGTTCAACAGAATGTAGTATTTTAGCTATGGATTCACATTGGCCAAAATAGATATCGCAGACTTATGGCGCAAGAAGTTAGAACAGCTCCGGTTTCACTGCGACCGACTTGACGTCAGCTGCTCGAATAAAGTTGTCACTTTTACATTCAAGCCTTGTGCTCAAGTTTTCTTCCATTGTGTAGTTATATGATCAGCTCCTTCAGAGTGGTTCGGCAACTGACTAGCAAGTTCGGGAAAAACAAAACAGCATTAAGTGTGTCGCTTCTTCACCCGTCCAAAGGTGGTGCTAATATCACTCTTCGTCTGTTCATCCTAGTAGGTCAATGTCGATCAGGTTCCACCTATACATGCGCAAAAACGCTCAATCGCTTTCAATCAAGGGCATCATTCTGCCGTGTTTATTGTCAAAACTATTCGAAACCCTACCGCGGCACTCTCATTCCTCGGTGACAGAAGAACCAATATCGTGACGGTATTTCGAACGCGGCGTGTTCGTGATTCCTCACTTCAGCGGCAACCCTCGAGCGTGGTTCGCAACATTCACGACATGTATCACCGCGTTGTGGCACAACTGACTGCCAATTTCGACCGGGTGCTACTTGGCAAGCAACTAAGGAGAAGGTCGTAATCTAGTGTAGAAGTCAAGTTAGGTACTCTGGTCGGAAGGCGACAAATCCAGTGCTTGTGTGCAGCGTCAGGTGTGGCAGATCCGAATGCGGAAACTGTGGTTCGCGTGAAAAGCCTCTGAAATTGTGGGCCTAGTAGGTGTCGGGTGCTAGGCGATATTTTGGCCAATGTTTGGCATCGTACGACTGACAATTAATGGTATTCATCCTTTTGGATCCACTGTCGATGAGGAGGAATGGGAAAATTCAAGGTATCATATCAATACACGATGTTTGCTGCCTTCAGGCCATGATTATGTATTGCCTGTCACTTTTGACACGTTTCGGGCGATTGTGTCAATGCGTAAAACAAACACAAATCTTTTTAGGCGCCGAGGGTCTGCGTGTTCGTAGATGAGTCGCTGTGTCATCAGTGACTCGCCAAAACCTCGCATCTCAAAAGGATTGTATAGGCACTAACCGTGGAGGCACTAGGATCTCGGCAGCAAGCATAGCCATACTGACCAGTGTCCGTTGCGTGTCCATGTGTTATGCGGAATGGCCACATATCCTCAGGCAGCAAATCACACCTCATTCTGTGGTGGTTCGCGTCACCCACTATCCTGCACTCGACCGTAGACACTCAAGCAATGATCGTTGAGTCAGCGTTAAGAGCAAGTAATGTGCAATTTGTCCATTCTCTTGATGACTGCACCTTTTAACTACAAACAGCATTTCCTTGTTGGAATTCTCTCAGACCGATCAGTGGTGTGGTGGAGGTGGTCTGGTCAAAATCCAATTTCAATCCGTTGTGCGAAATGTCATTGAGACAGTGATGAGGATGAATGTGTGCAAACACATCTCTCTACTACAAAATTTCTCATCGTGCCAGCATTCGTGATGATGCGCGTCCACAGAACTCTGCAGGAATCTGCTTCCTCTTCATAAGCACACACTACAAACAAATCAATGGGATATTAGCTAAAGTGAGCCATTTAAAGACAACACAATTCATACCACTAGACAAGAATTGGCACACGAAGGGGATAATTGCATGACAAATTCAGTTTCCGTGGCTTGAAGTTCATCCAGCTTATCCGAATATGAAGACGAGATGTAATACAATTTAACGCAACTCACTTTATTACTGTTTCTGATGCATCAGGGCCACAAGCAATTTTGCCAGGTAGTGGCTCTGATTTCCTCACGGTCGACAGTTGTGGTCGCTAGTTAGTCTTCCAGGTCACTTTTTCTTCAACACAATGAACTCGGACACATTGACGACGAGCCATCACTTCTTCTGCGTGACGTTGTGTCCAATGTTGGTGACGGAGGACAATCGGGAGAGAAGAGGCAGAAGTACAGCAGACGTGCAACACCAAAGTGGATGATTCGGTGTGTCCGTGAGTGAAGGCATTAAACAAAATTCGTAACGAGAGAAGCAGTCAAATGTAATTGTCGTTCGAGTACGTCGACCATGATCATGTGCGAATTGCCATGAGCACGTGTCACGCCGGCGAACTGTAAGCTAACAGTAGCCTTGAGTGAGCATCGACGACGACTCAACTGCTGATTTCCTTGTTTTTTAACTGACCCACGATTATACCGTTGACCGGAACGATCCTTCACAAATCATTCAATGAAATTTGGCTCGTGTGCCATAGAAGCTAACCTAACCGATGATGTCAGAATAGGTAATAGGATGTCCGGTGACCATCAGGACCATTTAGATCCGATTGCTCTGATATCCTTGCACGCTCTTACACAATCAAATATCACTACTCGTTTTTGGCGCAAACGTACGCACTTAGTTACCGTAAAAGAAAACCCTCTTACCCCTGATATCACAGATTTCCAACTGTGCAAAGTGGACTCATTAGCAATCACTGAAGGCAGCCCTGTTGTATGGAAGACGTCGTCTGCGTCCTCACACGTCAATTAGCCTGATTAATTTGTGCCTTACCATTAAAATTAATTTCATAACAAACTAGTCTACTTCATTTGGTGTACTGTATACAGCACATTCATAAATTTGCCTCATAACCAAATGCTATATGGGAGATTTTCTGAAGGTTGTCAATACATTTGAACAAGCCCAAGTCTCTGGCAGTTAAATTAGCACTGAAATTATAACCAACGCGTAGTTGATGAGGTTATACAATTCACCTTAATCATGTACCCAGTCAAGACACAATAATAGACTCGATATTTGCATTTACACCTCACGCAAACGTCATTTTTCAAAACCAAAATATCTTCAAGTTAATTGCCTGCATTCTAACTGTGGTTGTGCTCTGTGCTACAGGTGTAAGCACCGCCTATTTAAAAAAAGGCTACATCTTTCCTCATCAAGGGTATCTCAGGCATGTATGCGGAAAACCAACACCGCCAGACACGTTTGCAGTTTGCACCCAGCGCAGTAGGTGTGTACCGCCGTCATTTGTTTGCGGGTGCCGCCGCTGTCTTAGCGTCAGCGTTGATGCGTTTGACATTCTGTTTGACTGCTAATAAATTGTAGTTGACTTGAAAAGCCACGCATTTGTGCCCTGTTCTTAGAAGACATGATTTGGATTCAAATTTGTTGGACTATCTTGTCAAAGTGAAAGTTGTAGTAGAGTGAAAGATGTTGTGTGGTTCGCTCTGCAAAGTGACGATCATGACTGTGTCCTGTGTAAATTAGCTTTACGCTTGGAAATGGCAAATTATCATACAATTTGTATTTTTAAAGATGCCAATTACTAAGTGGTGATTGTTGAAGCTTTATTGAGAGCGAACAATAAATTGCAACCCGACTACTAATATCTCCTTTTGTTAGGAGCAAATATATCCACCAGTTGCTGCATTTTTTGGCTTTGACATCCTTACATTTCCTTTCGCCTTTCTTATTTGGTCATTCCGTGTCATTTATGTGACCATCATACAGCATGAGCATCTACAGGCAGACAGTTAGTAGAGGGAACGAAGTCAAACTGCGACTTTTTATTTTAAATTAACGAACACCACGATTACCTGCTACACTCTCTGTCAATAGCGACCACAGGTCACTTAGAAACATCTTCAACTAGTTGACAGCCCCCAGAACAACTGGCATCTAAAAATTAACGATACCTGTGAGAGCTTTGGTTTGAATGTCAGTGATTTCTACTTAGATTAGGGGTTTTATATAATACCTGAGTGATTTCGATATGTAATTCGTTAAAAATGCCATGTCAATTGCAGTTGCAGCAGTAGCACGGTTTGTTGACGTGTCCTTGTTCAATAACTGGAAATTCAGCAGTTGTGTCTTCATCGTCATTTACTCATGTCGACAATTAGCTCACTGTACGCCTACGTGAGACGTGCTCAAGACATTTCGCCAAAGACCATGCCGTTACTAAGCTAACGGCAATTGACTTCAACTATTCCATACCTCAAGTGGGGAAATTTGCTCAGCAAGGCTTACTCACAAACACATATATAAGTGTGCAGATAATTTGCACGAGACGCCGGATCATCTTGCTCATCGCGTGTGTCGTCGTGGTTCTGCGAGTTTGCGATGCGC